CTTCCAAGAGTATCTAGAGTGCCCGACACGTCGCTTGCATAAGAAAGTTTTGTGTCTAGTACTTCTAGACAAATATATCTTTGCAATAGACGCATTGTCTGCTCTAAAAGTTCATCGTTCCTTTAAAAATATAAGTTTAAACTTAAATAAAATGATGGCGCAATACATATTTTAATATAATTCTATAATGTTCACAATATTTACACAACTTGATTTCACGTATTTAACATAACTAATTGAGTTTTCATTTATTGTTACAGGTATTTGCTAATAAAATTGGTGAAGCTACATTTATGAGCTGTGAAAAATTAACCCTTTTTTCTATATTAAACTATCAGTAAAATCAAATGAAATTAATCAATTTATGATAATAACTGGAGATACGATATTTGTTTGATTTAATTTACTTAAAAATAAGAATTAGGGGAAAATTATTACCGCCGTATGGGACATCACTCATGTTTCATCTCAGACAGTAATTAACGAAAGCCAGCAATTAGAGGAGACACTTGACAATCGTCCTAAATCTCTAATATTTGAGTGTCGTTTAACAATGCTTACCTACAGACATCTGTCTGTTTCAATTTATTTTGTTTTCATTTTGGGTTTATTTTAAGAGAATTAACAAATATGTTATAGTTAGGAAGTTTGCCAGGATCTTTTTTTCAGAATAGTTCACCTTAAAATTTTAGCCACTTTTTGTCATACAAAAGTTTTATAGATATTACATTTTTGTAGTTAGAATTTTACGCCTACGATCTTTACATATGTAAAATATGTGGTTGGTGTCTTCCGTTTCCCTTAAAGTCGACATATTTAAAATAGTGACATAAAACTATTTTTTCTAAAGCCATGCCAACCACACAATGCATGTGCATTACCAAACCCATTATTTGGAGTGAAAAACATACAATTTCCACGATGTAGCATTTGCAAATCATTCGTAGAACGTCTACGAATCGCTACGAATCTAATACTTATATAGCGTGAGTAAATGGTATTCTACGACGGTCTCGACGTCAAGTAATACAATTATTTCAAAAAATAACGTTTACTGCGATCTGTAAAATATAGCCAAGAAGTTCTTTCGCAAATGCTATTACTTCTGAGTTTTTTCCTCGAAGGGAAATCGTTTAAGTTAACTCGTTTGCTTGAAAGTTGCCTTGTGGTCGGATTACAAAGATAAAACTTAGTTCGGGCCGTCTATTAAAAGTCCAATTTTTGTATTACATTTTCATAATGTTATTTTGAACAATTTCCTGGAGCTTGGTCTTCATCACGAACCTGTCGTGACGTCATTGCAGTAAGTTTAATCTTTCTAATTCTAACAATTAACAAAAAATATTTTGGTCTTCATCACGAACCTGTCGTGACGTCATTGCAGTAAGTTTAATCTTTCTAATTCTAACAATTAACAAAAAATATTCTGCCTAATAAACCAAATGCTTATTCGACTAAACCATAAAGTTAATCGTCTAAAGGCGTCCTTTTTTCTATACAAATACCGATAAACCTGTAAAATTCAAGCATAACAATACAATAACAAATTAATAAAATAACCCGAAAATTTTCAATTAGCTATTAAATATGAAGCAACTTTGCAGCCGATATTAAACATGGAGGCCGCAGAATTTTGGCTTTTAAAGTACGGACATTGAAAATTTGCACATACATTTTCAGTGCACATCATTCCTCGATCGGTGTCGGGGTGATTTATATTCAGAGGCAATTTGGCGGCTCTTTTTATACCCATACAGCTGTGCTCTTTATATAGATTTTCTCATCAATATTCTATGTAGACTCGTATTTGTAAATTAATAGCTATTTTGTGCATGTCATTTTGTAAAGGTGAGGCAAGTTTTTGTTGATAATATTAAAAAATACGACTTTACGACTTTGTAGAATTTGTTATTACCTACCTGATTTATTTATTAATTTATAACCGCACCAACAGGCCACACATAAGAAAAAACAAAAAAAGGAAAGAACCAATGTAATGCTTATAATTATTATGTGTGTGACATCAATGACAAGTGACATCACTGCGTTAGGGACTTGTTTAAGTTGAGAACTGAACTGATGAGTTAAGGTGTTTTGTAGTTCAATGGCATATGCCATATTAATAATATTATTGACCCCACATTATTGATATGATTCGTTAATCTCTATATACCTTAACACCAAATATAAAAGTAGGATTACTGGTTTAAAGCCTAAAAAATGAGAGAAAAATACACGTCAAACTATAAACCTCCTTCGGGTTTTTGATAGTTGGTTAAAACACGTATAAAATCATGACAAATAAATAGAAGAATTACAATAATTGAATTTCAAAGCTCTATCCAATAAACCTCCATTTTTCTATATCCACATCAGTATTCGACGATTCTTGGCCTGGATTTGTGTAATTATAATAATTTAAAGTAAACCTAGGCAGCGATTCACGTACTCTCAACTCCAATTTAAATTTAATTAGACCACGGACGTTGCAGAATGACGATTCTGTTTAATTAACATCGCGAGTGTACAGACAGATTCCCATTTTTTAATGATTAAAATAATGCCTTATTCGCTATATTTCGTAAATTCTAACAATTCAACATTTGGGTTAAAGTATTATGATATAAGTTTTTATTTACTTGCTACACGCAACTTTATTTGCAAAGTTAGACAAAATTTAGCTAACATTCAAACAAACAACTTTAGCATAATACATTATTAGGTAAGTGAAGTACAGTTAAGTGAGAGCTCTAAGAATAGCAAAATACAGACTGCATCTTACTGTTTAAAGTAAAGTTGATATTTAATTAAACTTAAGTTAAAAGAAAAAAAGGACAGATTATTTTTCAAAGTTTAAATATAATAAGGCTCCGGGCAGATCAAGCTGACGGTTTATTTATTTATTTCCATCCACAAAAGGTTTCACTGATAAAAAATACAATACAAAGTAAAACAAGATAAAACATGACAGCACAAAATTTATTAAATTAGGAGAACGACAACAAACTAGCAGCTATAAAAAAAAACAAACACACATTGTTTTACTACATGAGCTTGCAGATAAAGATACACTGGCCACTGAAGATGAAATAGGTACATACAATTAAAAACAAATCTAGCAAAATAGAAAAAAAATATTTCGGTATAAATTACTGTATGAATATGGTTTGTTAAAATTTTCTGATACTTGCGTTTTTTAAGGCAGCGCACCACCAAAACTAAAGTTTGTGTTCATAAATTAGGTAATATCTATGTCACGATAATCGCTCCGTTCATCTTGCATCGGTACATTAACTGCGAAAACTCTAACATCTTGAGATATTCCTTTCACTGATATTATTAAGATTCATTTAACTTTTAGTTGGCATTCATTTTACTTGAGAAAAGTTTTTCTTTTGAATTTATGCCGAGTTGTCATTTATTAATTTTGTTTACTCTTAAAGAAAAGTTATTCGACAAAAAGACTTATTGATAGAGATAACAAAATGGTGGACAATAATAGAGCAGTTCGTTTAAAAAATATTTCTAGAATATGTTCAACAAATACTATGTATCGACTGTTACTTCTTGGTATCATAATATATAACCTTAGTAGTGCTATTCATCAGATCATCCCTACATAATTTTGCAATCAGATAATTCTATCGAAATAATCAGAAGATTTAAAAAGCGATTCTAAGGCCAGGTTTCTTCATTAAAAGCCTCTAAAAGTTCATTGAGTTGATTTCATATTCAATTTGCACGTAACAGGGACCGCTATAAATTTTTTACGGGCGTATAAAAAGCTCGGTAGATTTAAAAAAGTATATTTATACGTTTTATATTGTATTTAAAATATCTTATATGATATTCAAATTTCAGTAGATTGCAATGGGTAACTAGTTATTAATAAACCCATGTATGACATCTCAAAAGGTTTTTTATGTATGTGTGCCTTAATCGGATCATCTGCCATTAGATAATTTTATATCCAGGCTTATTGCTATTAACTGACAGGTAAATAAGCTCTCAGTTGTGTTGCGTGAATTTCTGAATAATATCATTCGTCTCGCACGTTAATCCCTCACAATCCTGGATTCACCGTAAGGAACTCGCGACTGAGCTCATTTATAAACGAATTTCATATGAATTTCGCTGCTTAATGGATTAATTCACGATATGCCTTAGAGCGCTTATGCGAGCCATTTTATTTCTAGCACATGTTGTTCTGAGACGATAAGATATTTTTTTTACATATTGAAAAGTTTATGTGAGGAGTTACAGCGAAAGATTAGGAGTTTTATAAGTATTAAATGCTTTGATAGTTACGCACATTCTTGCAAATATTTTAATTTAGACTCATTAGAATGTCGGCGAAGTCAGCAAGACCTGCTTTTTTTACACGCTATTTTTAATGGGCGGATCGATAGCCCCTATTTGCTGTCGTTAATTTCTTTTAAAATTCCTTATGCGACAAGACACACAAAATTGTTCCATGTGCCTCGTACGAACTCGAATTACCTGCATAATTCACCAATGTTTCGGGTTTTATCTAACTATGACACTAATTATAAGGATATTGATATTTTCCACCTCACCAAAGAAGTTGTGAGAAAATATTTGAAGAGGCGGGAAGACTCTAATTTTGTTTAGGTAGTGATTCGAAATATTTAGTATTATTTGTTGTTTTAAATGTTAAATTTCGTTTTGTCTATTGATGCGCTTATTTGTTTTATTTTTCGAATCTAACATTATTTATCTATGTAACCTGTTTTGGCTTTCTGTACTGTCTAAGTGTTTGTTTTATAATACTATGTAATGTTAGCTGTAAGATTAGTTATAATTAAATAAATAAATAAATTGCGCTCTTCCATGACAATAACCTGGTTGCACTACTAACTTAAATCACTATTAAAGAATTCAAATTACGAAGGCAATCCGTTAAACCGCAGGCCTAATTTCGGCAATTTTGCATCAAGAAATTATTCTAGTTTCCATTCGTGAACGAAGTCGTGAAACCCTTAGTTCTGTATAAAACAAACTTGTTTGCGGGCTGCCTCGTCGGGAGTAAAGCAACTGTAGCCTGTCACTTGACCTACATCCTTTCTGTCTACTCCGCAGAATTTATTCAAATAACACTCACATTGATCCATATCCAAGGTCCAAATTCCCACAGCTCCGCCTAGCTCAAAGGCGACTCCCCACGCAATTTGACACTTTGTTTTTCCTTCAAACACGGCAGAATATTCAATGTCGGCGAAAAATGAGGCGACTGTATCTCAACCGAACTCGCACCGAAGCACACATGTAATAAGAGTCAAATTTAAATAAAGTCTCATTGGTTGATAATGAATTTTTTATCGTGTTTCGACCTACACTAGCAACAATAACACATGTAATTCGGGCTATATTTAGGCTGATCTGAGTCCTCTCAAACGGAATTTTTTAAAAATTCATAAAAGGGTTATGCTACGAACTCTCATGTTTATTTAATAAATCATACTTCCGTTTCGTATTGTGTGTCTCAAAGGCGTTATATGGAATGCCTTTTCTGGTAAGGCTTGCTGTTTCTTGTTGGGATGAGAGCCTATTAAATTTTTATGCTTTTCTTAAATCACGAAACAACAATATATTACTAAAGGAAGGTAATTCAACCTCAATTATTATAGCTGTATTGTTAGAAAACATTGACAATCTAACTAATGTCAATATTGAGAAGCAGTTATTGTCATAAATAAAGTTAGACGGCATAAGTGTTTACGCGACATTGGTGGAGGTTTATTCATTTATGAGCTTATGAAATCTCAGGTCGAGGGCTAAACTTCCGAGATTTGTTGTGTTTTGATTCAGTTAATGTTACAAACTTTTAATTGGTTTGATATTTTGCCTTTTCTAATCGCGACGTATAAAGAGTTAACTTTTTCAATTATCGTCAAGAACTGAAGTTGATTTACGAGCAATGTTATTTAATTATTACCTCGTACTTAGGAATGCTTCTTAGAAGTGGGATTACCTGTTTCAACTAATAAAATTATTTATAAATGCTATTAAGTCATGATCTAAATGCCTCATTCGCCGTTCGTGTTATATTTCCTGTGGTTATTGCTACGAGCCGTAGCAAGTATTAACACGTAAAACGTGTTTATAATCTTTTTTTTTAATTTTAAGTAAATACACAGGAATTTGTATAAGGCGATGGATTTTATAGTGAAATCTTCCCAGTTAAAGCAAGTCCAAAAGCGTAGTATTGTTAACTTCTTGAAAAAGAATAAATGTTTCTTATGTCGCTTTTACGAGTAGGTATTTTGATGTAAATATATCTTGTTTTGATAGAATCCTCGACATATCTAACAAACTTTTCAGGTTCTTAATGTAAACAACGAAGCAAAAGTCCATTTTGTAGGGTAAATAACGAGTAATCTGGTTGTATGGGCCATTAACCCCTGCGAAAGAGCGATTGGAGTCGACGTGGCTCGAACAGAGCGATTCAGTCGCGAAATTAAACTGTCAGCCACCGTTGTTTGCTCACTTGTTTTAAACCTGTGTGATTTGAATATCATCAAATCATAATTTTGATGCAATTTGTTTAATTAATTATAGAGAGTTGATGTTTATTTTTTTAATTGATTAATGAACGAGATTTAGGTTTTTAGTAATGGTAAATTTAGCTTAAATCAAACATACCATAATAAAGTATTAAAAACAAGCTGTTTATAAAAAAAATCATAATCAGACTTATACCCTCATTTTTTTAAAAATATGTGGCAATTAGTTCAATTTTGTCATCAAAACGGCGTTACCAACAAATAAAATATGTATACGTTTAAAAAAACATAGATTTTTACCTTCATTAAAAATTTGCCACCTGCGCAGCGCCTGTTTTCTTATTTGGGGCAAGTGGGGCAAAGTGGACACGCATCCAGCGGGATGTATGATACAATCGCTGCATGAATATTCATGCCAGTGCGCCTCTCTTGTTTCAGGTGTCGTTACCATATTGTGCCAAAGAAAATACTCGTATTTAAACAATGATTAATGAAACAGACTTTTTCCGAGATTTTTGAGTTGTTTTCATGATGATCATCGCTATTTTTACTCGGTTACCAAAAACTTTACCGTTTATAACATAAGTTAGGTAAACATATTTGTGTGAGTTTTCAAAGCAAAGACAAATTAACCCTCTACGCCGTAGCGTGTAGCTACATACAAACGAATATATTGTGAAACTGATCAATAATATAACTGTTTACATATTCAACGATAAATTTACTAATATTAGCATAGAACCTCATCAAAATCACATACTCTTATAAATGTATTATTTTTAGTTGAGTGAAATAGCGTACAAGACAATCGACAATGTTCTCAAGAAATTTAATTTGTAACGCTAGCATAAGTGTAATATGCAATTCAATTACGAAGCAGCCCAGTTTCAAATAAAATACCTAGCATTTTGCAGCGTGTCTAAATAAAATGGCGTCCGTGTCCGACACTATACAGAACTTGTAGCGTTTCTTATTACTCATATTTTCATTTTGTAAATGTGTATTTTCTTTTAACATTGTTATACGGAGTGGATCACTTCTTTTGATTAATTTCTTTGCTAACATCTAATGCATGCTAATATACTGTTGGAAGGTTTCGGCAACCTTTCGATATACCACCAGTTTTTTGTATCAAAATAAACAATAACGCATAAAAAGCAACAATTGAGTACTATACAAATAAATACAAAAAACAAAAGAACGTACTAATAAAACTACATACAGATACATTATATATTTAAGTAATTTATCTACAAAACATAAAAACTTAATTTAAATCATGTTACTAATACTTTTTATTTTATATTTCCATACCGCATAAAACCTCAGAAAAAACCGTTCAAATATTTAAAATAAAAGGATTCAACCTAATTTTACACATTTATTCCTTAAACAATGGTCATCCAAAGCCATCCCAAACAAACACTTTATTATCAACAAACCGGTTTTTCATCCTTTTTTACGGTTTAATCAAAGTTCAGCTGCGTCAAGGGTTGTCGGTGGTCAGTAAATAACCGATAGGTCGTTATCTGTTCACGGCAGGAACGCCCTCTAAAACGCTAGAAATATGGTAACCCTGTCCGCGTAAAAATGACCAGCTTTATGTACCGTGAAGATAGTGTTGTTTAAATTTTCTTGGAGAAAAATATACAGAGTTTTATCAATTTCTTACATGCTAAAAGATGAAATTGTTTGTGTTATTAATTTCATTCATTTATTACATTATGTGATATGAATTGTTGTATTAATGTTTTGATTATTTTAACTATTTGTCTTAGATAAGAGCATAAAACTTTAAACACTTAAACAAAAACCTAAACGGTAGAAAAATACCAGAAAAAGAAAAAAAGCGTTTTACGGCTCGGCCTCAGTGATGTTTGATGATCTAATATGCAAGTAGATGATCAGCCTCATGCTTTGGCCTTTAGTCAAGCCGCTTTCCTGCCAATGTTTTCCTTCACCATTTTAGCGAATGTTAAATGCGTACATAGAAAGTCCATTGGTGCTTAACCGGGGATCGAACCTACAACTTTCGGGTTGAGTCGCACACTGAAGCCACTAGGCTAACACTAGTAGAAATATAAACTCCTTTAGAAATAGTATATGGCGATATGCCGCTAAAAATAACACTCCCGGTTATAACAATTCAGTATTAGGTAGATTGTTTTTCCGTGTCCCTTAAGAAACTATACAGTTGAAGATCCGTAATTGAATCTGCATCCGCAAGCCACGGCGCCTTTAATTTGGGTAAGTGTTGCGGTACAGTCAGCATATAAATCTTATAAATCTCTCTTTAAAGTTGGAAATATTTTGTCTGGTGTACAGTTTAAATTTAGTGCTTCAAATTACCGCGGTCTAGATTAAGTTAGCGTTATTTATAACCGTATTTTACAGTTATAAGTTGAATGAAATGAAATGAATATGTTTTCTGATTACGAGACGTTATGAATGATGGTTAATAATTTAAAACAATTTATATGAAATGATATCAAAATCAGATAATAAATGAAAAAGTATACAAGTATTTGCAAACCTACCAACTATTTGTTGATATCCGCCGAGCCTTCTCAAAAATAATCGAATTCAATTACAAAGGAAAGATTTTATAATGCAAAAAACTTAGTTGTTTTGAATGTATATTACTAATTACAGGCATAAAAGTTAGTTTCACTGACTGTACAGTATTTCGTAATCCAGACACGTTTGTGGACCCCACTTCAAATAGATTATTACTCCCTTTGTCGGGAATTTTACAACTTCAAAAATTAGCCGAAGGCTGGACTGTTGCGGGCCTCGAAAATTATTTTATGTAGCCTTATGTCTAAAATTTTCAATTATTCATTATACACATATATATATAGGAAGCTTAAATAAAATATATTTACCGTGAAACATACCTCAACCTATGATGGAAGGTAACTCTTGAATGTTTTGCTCCCTTCGGGAATTTACTAGCGATTTTTTCAATTTTAAACGACTTTCTTTCGTTTTTTTTCATTAATTTGTTACATAACTGTCAATTTATAGTTGAAACAAGTATATGATCCATGACATCCCTGAAGATCTTTTTAATTAGAGCTATAATTGCCTTGACTTTCTCTGAAAGGTCAATTTCGCACTTTGTACTAGAGAAGCAGTAAATTAAAGATTTAATATTACAGGAAGGCAACAGCGACGCTGCGTGTAACTCTGCAGTAGCTTGTGGTCTAAGTCGTCCTAATTTTAATGCCCTTTTAGAATTGTACAACATTAATTCATGAGTTAATGATATATTGCATTAATTACACATGAATCGTAAATCGATTTCATATTATATAATGGGCGCCATAGTTTTGGCCACAGATAGAATCTGTTTCTTTCGTCATTTTTATAAAGACAAAAGGCACCAAGCACAGGCCACATACACACACATACTGTCATGCCTAATATTAATGTTATTCGTTAATTTTTTTACCGTTTTGTAGCGTACGGTACACATCCAGAATATAAACGGAACCAACCACTGCTCTAATTAACATTTATTCGATATTACTAAATTTAGTGATAAAAATAAAAGTATTTAGTACACGTAACATTGGAGTTGCAGTACTAACTTCAGATTACCTGACTAATAGCACATTGACCGCCTGTTACTTAAACCCAGTCCAAAATGTAACAGCGTCAGTGATTTATAGAACGCTGTGCGCCCGTAACTTATTGCTGGCAATGTTTAGGGAATACACTGAGCTTTTGGAAACATTATGATTCTCTTTACAATTTTCAATCTAAAGAGTATTAAGGTTGTTGGGTTATGGTCTCACTTCCGGTTAAGCTTACTACTATAATGAGTACGCAATAAGTAGTAATTTAAATTCTTATTCGAAAGTCAAAGCGATGAATGACAAATGTTGTGAGGAAAGGTTAAATTTCACCTACACTTGTGTATCGAAGTCACGAGCGCTAGAAACAAGAAGCAAATAAGTATATATATTTCTCCAACTCGTATTACATTAACTTAATGTCCATTATTGTAAAAACATCATACAAAATTCTTTTGAACAAAAAGAACCCAATTTTCAATATAAAAGATACGTTCCTTTCATCATAGTTCCGTTACTTTATATATTCATTATACGAAAAGGAAAAGTTTAAGATATTTTGCTTACACATATTTTCAGGTAACATAAAAGATTGTTACATTAAATATTTTTATTCGTTACTGAGAGCATTTACAAGCGTGTTTTTACAACTCCATTAGTCAGGTTTATGGCCACTTTTGAAAACAATTGGTTGTAAATTTAAGTGGGTTCTTCATTTTTTTCTTTTGTATCAGGTTAGATTGCTTTGCGAGTAAAGTCAATTATTTAACAGTGAGAGCGAACGACTACATGTATGTGATGTTGGCCTAGTGTTTTCAGCGTCCGACTCTCATCCCTGAGGTCGTAGGTTCGGTTCGGTTCAAATATACTTTTTTCTCAAAGAATTACATTCACTTAGTGAGAAAATTTAGAGTAGGTTAGTAATGTACATCGTGTTTTGAAATTATTTGAAAATAAGCTATATAAAATAAAAATATTAGTTGCTAACAATATGCACAATATTTTCACAAAAGCGCAAGTAGGTCGCATCGATGTTATATGCGACAGGCATTATGTGATTAATTAATAGTAATAATTACGTAGACGCTCGTTCACAGACATACATAAATGCTAGAAGTTACTTTTTTTGATGTTTTGTAAATCCATATTTTTCTATTAATTTATATTGAACTTTTACGATTATTATAGACATATATATACTTTTTACGTTTTTATTTTTTTATAGGTATGTTGTTAATTATATGTACTTTTAAAATTTTTTGAATTTGTAAAAAAGTTTTTTTTTTTTAAACTGGATGCCAATTTATTAAATATTTGTGCGCCTTAATACATATTTAATACTAAGTTTTCCGTAATTAGTCCTTGGTTGTATTAAACATAATTGATAAATATTTCTTAATGAATATTTTGTATCTGATTTTTGTGTAAAGGATAGATTTATAGGTTGGATCCACGGCTATGCACAAATGTACTTTCTTTCTATGTGCGCATTTGACACTCGCTGGAACGGTGAAGGAATACATCGTGAGGAAACCGGCTTGCCTTAGACCCAAAAAGTCGAAGGCGTGTGTCAGGCACTTGCCTAAAGATTTAAAAAATGATCATGAAACAGATACAGAAATCTTATTTATTTACATATGGTTGTATATTAGTTGGTAAATTACATGGTAATTATTGTAACGTATTAGAAGGGGCAAAAGTTTCGATCCAGTAGGTAATACTATTTGTATAGGGACAAATCTTTATTTATTTATTTATTTATAAAAGCTTGCCAACGCTTGGCACATTAATACATTGACAGAAGAAAAATAAAATACATTTTTCAATGTGTCAAGCACTTACAGGTAAACATAGCATACAATAAGTAATAAAA